GCAACCTACTTGTGAGTTATCTATTTAAACACTCTGATCATTAACCCTTTCCTCTATCCCAAACTAACGTTACTACTATGACCAACTACTTAAGCCAGCTGGTTCATTCACAGATCTATTCTTTGCATAGCTTAGATTTTCTCAGAATATGTATACCTAACATATTGTAAGCTGCAGAGCTCCAGTTAATTTCAGAAGTATACCTACTAGAGTGGTCTATACCTATTTTATAAATTCACCTAGCTTAGACCCTTGTAGATATTTATACAACCTAGTTCCTACTGTAGCTCTCTACTAGTTTTCTGTATCTATCTTTTTAGATGTTTTATGAGGCAGATCCTTCTAATTCAGTTAGCTACCAAGCTAAGTTGGTGTTACTGATCCTCTTTGTAGAACAGATTTATGTATATCTGACTCAATCTGCATCTTTTAACGATAGTTTCCTTTCTGGATCAAGCATTAGCTAGTATGACTGTCGAAAGCTATACTACTTTACCAACTCTGAATTTCTACCATGCAGGTCCCTGTCTGTAGATCTTATCAAGATTTATTCATATAATATTATGTACTTCACATACTTCCAATATCTAAATAATATTAGTACAATGTAATTTACAGGGTTACAACTCCAGAAACGAACAGAGTTTACTGTAAGTTAAGTACAAAGGTTCAGGTAATTATTCAAATTCGTCGATAGTAGAATTTGAACTCCAACCTCTTGTATAGCAGTCTAACAACCTAACCACTACACTAAGATCACCAGACTATATGAAAATTATATTTTCATTACTCTGAATATAAACTGATAATAATCATTTTGTCAATATATTTATATACAACATATTTATATATATATTCATATACAACATATTCCTATACTATGTATTTATTGTTGTTATATTAAAAATTATTTATGTTATAATTAGAGTTAAAATTTAAAAAATTCAAAAAAAAATTTAAAAAAAAAAAATTCAAAAATTAGTAAAAAAAAAATATTTGAAAAAAAATTGTAAAAGAATTTCAAAAAAAAAAAAAAAATTAAAAGACATACTGTAGAATAAAAAGAATACATTCTAAAATTTCACAGGATGCAGATGATTTGTAGAATTTTGATCTTACTTAAAACTTATAGTTCTATATATTTAAAAGATGTACTTTTTGTAGCTAGTCTATTTTTTATATTGACGTAATAAAAAAAAAAGAAAAAAAAATTTTAAAAAAAAAAAAAAAATTTATAAAGCTTGTTATTTTACGTTATATCTAATTGATTAATTCCAAGTATTAATATCATTTTCTTCTTTAAAATAATTATACTCTAGACTATTTTCATTATTTTTTAGAGTTAATTCTAGAGTTAATTAAATACTTTTACTTTCTTTTTCAATGCCAACTCTTTTATTTTTCTCACCTAATACTTTTTTAAAATCAAAAATTGTATTATTTTTGAACTTGTCTATTTCTGTAGATATTTTACAATATTTGAAAGAATATTATATTATCACAGAATCAATATTATCTTATACTTCTTTGATCTATGTGATTACAAGCAAGTATAATAGTCATTTGATTTTACTAGTTAGTATGTATTTTTTGATAAATTCATTCATTCAATGATTATAGAAATAGCAAACTTGTAATAAAAAAATAAAAAATAGAAAATTAATAAAAAAAATTTTTTTTATATCAATGTTAAAATTGTTATACAAAGATCTTTTAATTAGGTAAACTTGTTTTTACTAGCTAATTAAAATTAGATTATAGCATAACCAAAATTTTGAGTATTGTTTTTAATATATAAGTATGTCAATAGAAATCAAGCAAATTTTTTCTAAGTAAATTTTTTAAACTTAAACTACAATAACTTAACAAAAATTTAATCAAATTTTATAAAAAATTTTTTAAATTAATTCTACAAATTTGTAGAATTCATTTAAAAAAAATTTTTATAAAATTTGATTAAATTTTTGTCAAGTTATTGTAGTTTAAGTTTAAAAAATTTACTTAGAAAAAATTTGCTTAATTTCTATTGACATACTTTTATATAATGCTAACTTTTGCTTTAAATATTTTATTCAATGATACATTCAATAGTTGTAGATATGAGATTAGTTTAGATAGAATTAAAGCTATATTTGTATTTCACTTATGAAAATGATATTTTATAGAATCAGTTCTATATGCAGTAAATGTATTCAAAACAAGAAGTAATACAAATTAGAACCAAAGTTGGCTCACTGACACCACATATTCTCCACTTATCAAATCATTTTATCTTCATCTATCTAGTTACTTGAATTTGTATGAACATATATACTATCAAGAAACTTTTCTCATAATATATTAACTAACTTAAAAATAATAAAAGAAGGAAGTTTAGTACTATTCACAAGACATGCAAGAGTTACAGTAAAATTTGTATGTTCATAACTTATTGTAAGAATTAAGATAGTTCATGTTTTACATTTTTCAACAGTAGTTTGATTTGACATGTTAAATGCTATAGAAGTTTCATTCATGTTGTCAATTAAATTTAGAGGATAGTTATATTCAGTTCACTAATAAGAGTAAATAATAAAAAACTTTGTTGTTGTTCTTGATAATTCTCTGGTAACTTTTATGCTGTTGTAGTATGTCTGTAATATACTAATGTATAACAAGATATAAATTCATCTATCTACTTATATGAAAATTGATATTTATAAATATCAGAATACAAAGCATAATATTCTTGTTTAGCAGCTAAACTGCAAGCTTTAGCATTGATCATATATCTAGTAACTATTTTTAACTGCTTTCGTAATTTATAAAACTATTCTAAAAGTTCTTCTTCAAGTTGTAGATACTTTGATCATACATTAGTATTAAATCATTGAATGTATAGAGCTGCATATATTAATTTTTTTTTTATTTTTCTAGTCTTGAACTTGCTTTGGCTCAATTTCGAATTTATTAGCTATTGCACAAATACTATACTCACTTTTTTGATAAAATACAACTATCAATTTTTTATGAATATTTCACTATTTGTACTTTTTTTACGTACTTGTTACTCATCATATATTAAAATTTCCTTTTGGTATTTTTAGACACTAAAATTTTTTTTTTTTTTAGATTAAAATTTTTGCATTTTTTATAAGATCACAAAGTAGATGTAGGAGTATAAATACCTAACTATTACACAAATTAATCAGAGAAAACATTATAAGGTAATTTATTCTACTCATTATGATCCTAAACTTTCAATAAAAATATCTTTAATTCTAATACAGTATTCAATCACAAGTATTTTTTTCACTATATATAAGCAATTTGAAATAGTTTTTCTATCTTTTTTTTTTTTTTTTTTTTTTTTTTTTAATTATTTTTTCATTATATGGTAGTATGCTAAAAATATAGCTTTTAATAAAAAAATTATTACAGTATTTAGTCTGCTAAAATAGTTTTTCTTAGTTTCGAAATTAATTTTCTTATTTGCTAAAATTATTGTCAAAATTATTTGAACTCTTTTATTAAAATACATTAAATAGTATAGTTATTTTATAGGATTTCATATAAAAAATATAACAATACTGAAATATTTGCTGAAATTACTTTTTTTCAAAAACTATTTAGATACATATCTATAGTAACAGGTTCTTCTCTAATTAGTAAATATATTGCTTTAATACCCTAACAGTTCAAGAAAGTTTATTACTACATTTCTTAAAAGTTTTACTAGTATATTAAACTAATTAAAAAAAACTATTCAATATATCTATAAAAAAGTTCATTGAGTTTATCGTAGAATTTATTTAATAATTTATAAGAGTATAATTTATAAGAGCATATTAATAGTTTGTATAATATATCGATATATAGTATCTAATATGATTACTTTATACAAAACCTTCTATATATAATACTCTCTCATATATTGTATCTCTAATAAATAGTACTCAGCTCTTTACATAATACTCCCAGGTACTATTCAATTTTAAAAATTGAGTTCTTAAAAAAGACCTCAGATACTTTATGCAGTAGTCAACAGTAGTTAGAAAAAACTTTTAGTATATAGATATTTTTTAAAACTTAAAGAATATATTAACAAGCTTATTTGTTATCTACTATTTAAACCTTCTTTTAAGTTTTTATTAATAAAAAAATATTTTTACTAAAATTTTTAATATAAAAACTTTATTATCTGCTAGTTATTTTATAATAACTTTTAGTTTGCATATTAAATATATAAGAAATTCTTTATAGTTAGATAGTTAAAATCAAGTTAACTTTTTAAAACTGTTCTTTATTAAAAGCTTCTTTATCAAACTTTGAAATTTTTTTTTGTTTTTTGCTTATTCAAATTTTGAAATAAAGAATTATCTTAAAGAATTAGTTGAATATATCTAACTATATCAAATTAATTTAGTAAATTATTTATCTGATAAAAATAATATATAACTTATTTTTTTTTTATTTTTAAAAAAACTTCTTTGACTAATTGAATTTTATTAATTTAATATATATAAAATTTTAGACTACATATATTTTAATCTTCTGAACAACTTTATTTAATGCATCAATATAGTAAAATTTTGACTTCACTATGTAGAAAACGATTTATTATTTTAAATTCGAAAAAAATAGTGTATTTTATTATTTAATATTTGTCTTATTTTTGATATTTTTTATGTTATCATATAAAAATACTATATTTTTAAAACAATATATCTCAAAAAGTTATTAGTTTTTTAAAAAAATAAGGCCAAGTTATAGTAAATGATTTTAGCTACAAAACAACGGCTTCTTTTTTTTGATATTGTTTTTAAATCAAAAGATATTAGATTGTGTAGACTTTAAATATCGCGCATTGTAGCATAGTATTTTTAAATAAAATCAATCTAGTTATAACTATGCGTAAAAAAAGCCATCATTTAACACAACACCTATCAAAAAGTAAAATGGTTTTAAAACCAAAACACGTGATATTAGACAATTGATATTTTTTATAAAAATATTTTTTTTTAATTGCTGTTTATTGGTGTTGTAGTACCATTAGTGTTTGTGTTAGTTGAACTACTATTATTATTGACTGTAATAACCTCACGAGATAATGAGTTTATTTTGCCATTTGTAATCGCAGAATTAGAGTTCGGAGTTGATGTTGTGGAGGTCAATGATAAAGGGATAGGAGTTGATACGGGTGACGCACTATTATTGTCTGATGATGAAGTACTGTTGACAATTGTAGCGCTATTGGTAATTGTCGGAGTTCCAATCGTCAAATTTGCTACGTTTGGTGTGGATATACCACTTCCAAGACCGTAAAGATAACCCCTTACATAATTTATCAATAGAATCCGGAGAAAAAAAACAAAAATTGGTGAAAATCATAAAATAAAACAAAGTTAGTGAGAATTATCAAATAAAAAAGAAATGCAATTGTAATTAATAATAAAATTTTACGTACAGGTATTTTTGGTCATCAATCTTATCATCAAAAAACGTTTGACGCATCTTAAAAAATGTAGTCGCTGTCAAAAGACTGTCACTACCAGCTTGATGTTGAGGGCCAATTCGAGAAACCTAATTAAAACAAAAAATTGAATTAAAAAACTCGAAACAAAAATATATTAAGGATAACCTACCTGTAAATCATCGGCAATATCTTGCAATCCGCCTTTCAAATTCTTGATACTCTTCATGAGGTACTTTATATCATATATACATGGAAAATATGTTCTTAACTGATCAAAAAATTTCGATTCTTCGGCAGGTAGAGGAGAACACGTGAGTACTTTTAACAAGTATCCAAAATCGTAGCCGCTACAGTCAATTTTATATCACCACAAATTATTACCGATGGAAAAAAAAAACAACGAAAATGGTCGAAGGGTAAATTAAACCTCAAAAAAAAAAAAAAAAGTACATTGTGTTTCAAACCTTTTAAGCTAGCATAAACTACATTTATAGAAACTCACCTATGAAAAGATATCCATTTGACATCATCCAGTAATACGAATCCTGAACTGATCAACAATTCACCAAACTGTTCTACGTCTATGCCATAATCTTCATGCCTTTTGAAATCGATACCAGACTTTGTCAATAAATCAATGGAATCTTGAGCATACATGTCGTCCCTAATGTAAATAATGGAAAGAAAAATATGAAATCCGTTGGTCTTAAAAAAGGGCACAAACCCATATTTCAAAAGAAACAACTTAAAAAAAAAATACTAACGCCAAGTTGAATCTAAAATTGAATTGCCATGTACAAATGTCTTGTGGTAAACAACCGTTCTCATCTGCGAATGTGATTCCTAACTGGATAATTTTTAACAAGTCTACATTGCATCTGAGCGTTTGATAATGGTAATCTGAGCTCGTTCGAAAGTTGCCGATCGGCCTGGCCACAACTCCTGGGAATTCCGTATCCTAATGGGCAAAAATTCAAAGTTTCAACCCAATCGATTCATTGCGCGTTCGCTTTGAACAAGTAGACAATATGAGATCGCGTGGGGTTAACCACACGAAAAATTAAATAAAGTGTTTAAAATGCGTGAAAAACCTTGTACCATCGCAAGGTAAGGGTACTGTTCCACTAGATCACGAAGAACAGCCATTTCCTCCTCTAGATTCTCGGCCCATACTTCTTTTATATACTTGCTTTCGTTACTAGCTGGCATGTTTGTAACCGTAAACAGGTATTTTGAGGTGGAATAGTGAACGAGAGCCACGAAGGACAGACAGAGGCCACTAAACAAGCCAAATTACTAAAGAAAGAGAACAAATAAAACTAGCAAGCCTGTGCAGTATAACTGTATCAAGGTGTAATCTATAACAAGTATGACTGTAAAGTAAGTAAAACTGGAGGTATTGAGTTGTGTAAATATAGTGGAAGGAAACGCGACACCACACAGAAGTCAATTCAATATAGCAGATAGTGAGAGACTGACTTTTAGTTTAAAGCCCCAATGAATATAATTTATTAATTTTTACGTATTAGTTTATTTTGTGATCATCTAGTGCATGCCAGAGTTCGTATAACGTTGTACAACCAATTAATGGTAATTTCTAGGACTTAGTACCGTAAATTGCCGTATAAAAGACCCGGGTCTCTTACATTCCACCAAAAAATTAATTAGTAAAAATGGGGGGATCTGATATCTGGGGGTCTTTTATACGACAATTTACGGTACTAGTTAAAATGGCAATTGTCATTGGTCAGAATTATAATACGGCTTCAGGAGGTATAAATAGAACCATTGACACCATTAACTTATTGGCTCGCTTATTTCAAGAATATATATACTTTTTTTTCAAGTGCAAAAATGGTTATTCCTTTATTATATTTCGTGAATATTTCTCGTTTTTGGTCACTGAAATTTTTTTTCTTTTAATTATGATAGTCGGCATTATTTAATTTCCAGAGTCTCTTACTCGTAATCTTACTAGCTATATGTACTTGTACTTTCGTAAAAGCACAAGCCCCAGCATTATTGGATAAAAATAAAACTGGGTACTTGATTTAATCAATTCTTTGCATTGAAAGCATACATCTTATTAATTTGTCATTTTATATTTACAGCATTTTAGGCTTGTTTTGGAAGGCTGCGAGAATTGGTCTGTTTATAATTTTCTGTTTCTATTTTATTTAAGCCTATGTTCTTAAACTGATTCTCTTTTGATTTCATAGGTGAACGCTTGAGTCCATATGTCTCTTTAGCATGTATAGCCATGGCCATAAGCATTATTCTAAAGTAATTTACATATTACAATTGATTCTTTATATCGAACCTTACCTATAACGAAATAACATGTTTATTTTACACTGACTTATATAATAAATTTGGGGTTTAATTTTTTGGTGCACCTGCATCACGGTGCACCCCTTATCACGTGATGAAATTGCGCAACATAATAAAAACTATAACAAGTATAGGACATTTTCTTTAAAGTGATTTCTATAATAGAAATTATAATAAAAACATATGAATTGAGCTAAAGATTCTTTTTAACTTAACTAAATAATTTAAAATTAAATTTTGCAATTATATAGAAAAAAAAAAAATTTAGCTTAAACTAAATTAAAATTTTGTTAATTTTATATAATTTAAAGATATAACTTTGTGAAAAATAAATGTTTTTTGATTTTAAAGCAATTATTATATATAAAATTATATTTTAAACAATTTTATTTAAAAGATAAAAGCAAATTAACTTAATAAAAAAATAAGTTAGTTATATATTAAATTTAAAAATTTTTGTTTATATATATATATAATTTTTTTTTACTAAGTTAATCTATTTTGATTTCTTAAATAAACCTGTTTAATATAAAATTTTATATATTTTTATTTATTAGAACATATTTTCAAACTTTTTACTAAGTGAAAAATAAAATTAAAAGTTAAAAAATTTTTTTTAACTTTAATCTAATTTTTTATTTAGTAAAAGATCTAAAAAAAATATATTTTAAAATATATATATATAATTTTATATTAAATAAATTTATTTAAGAAATCAAAATAATTAATTTAGTATAAAAAAAAAGTTATATATATAAATAAACAAAAATTTTTAACTTTAGTATATAATTAACTTATTTTTTTTTTTCTAAATAAAATTATTTAGAATATAAATTTATATATAATAATTATTTTAAAATTAGAAAATATTTATTTTTTACAAAGTTATATCTTCAAATTTTATAAAATTAACAAAATTTTAATTTAGTTTTTAAGCTAAATTTTTTTTTTTTGTTTTATATAATTACAAAATTTAATTTTAAATTATTTAGTTAAATTAAAAAAAATTTTTAGTTTAATTCATATATTTTTATTATAATTTTTTTTATAAATATTTTAAATTTTTTTAAAAAAATATATATTATATTAAAATTTATTAAAGTTTAAAAATTAATTATAAATAATAATTATATGATATTTAAAAAAAACTAAGGTTTAGTAATCTTAGTGTAATAATTAGATTATCAGACTGCTATGTAAGAGATCTGAAATTCAAATCCTACTGTTAACAAATTTGAATAATTACTTAGATCTTTGTATCTAATTTACAGTAAACTCTATCTGTTTCTAGAAGTTGTAACCTTGTAAAGTATATTACTCTAATATCAATCAGATATTAGAAGTATAATGAAAAAGTTAAATTTGATATAATATTATATAAATAAATCTTGATAAGATCTATGAACAGAGGATCTGCATAGTAAAAATCTTGAATTAGATAATATAGTATAGATTTTAACAGTCATACCAGTTGATATTTAATTCAAAAAAAAAATCTAAGTACAAAGAATACAGATTAAGTAGGTATGAATAAGTTTGTTATATAAGATCATATAGCAACACCAACTTGGCTTAGTAGCTAACTGAATTTGAGAAGATCTATCTTGTAAAATATTTAAAAGAATATAGAAGACTAATCTGATGAAGAGCTATAGTAGAAACTAGATTTGTATAAATACAAATAAAGATATATACTAGCTTAATTAGGATATAATATAGTATAGTTGAAGTTATTCACAAATTCTTATTAGAATAAAACTTATAATATACTTTAAGATAAAGCTCTATTATACAAAGACAATTTGAGATACAAGTAGGTCTAAGTGGTCCTTAAAAATAAAACAGCACAGAATTAGTATAGATTACAAACATTAGCTTAAATATAAAGTTTTATAGTAATGCCAGAAGGTTTAAATAGAGTATTAACAAACAGATACTAGATATAGTAATTAGTAGATAACTTATATAGCAGAACCTTTAAATAGATAATAACTAAAGTTATATGTGTAGCTAATTGTATCCTTACTAACAAATGTAATCTAAAAATAATACTTAATAAAAATCTGCAGACAGCTTGTTAAAAATTAAAAAA